GAGACTCGAACCCAGCTGTGTTAATTGGCGACTTCCACGCAGCTCAAAATAAGACTAATTATGAACATGCATGCCCAGACTGTTTATGAATGTTGAAAAATTGAGTGAACAATTAATAATCTGACTTAGACTATTTTTGAACTCGGACTATTTTTACACATAGAATAATTGCTGTAGGCAGTGTACATGTTACACCAGCTGGAAAACCGACATCATTACTACACCTATATTTCAACGCTACGAAATACATGTACAGTTAAAGGTGCTTAAAGCACCATACGGTGCGGCAAAACAACTAGTACGAAGAACTTTGCTTGGGGCACTGCAACTAAACCAGCACGTTGGAGCACGTGCCGTTCTTCTCTGCAAAGGGCATTCGTGAGCTGACCTAAACAAACGTTTAAATCCGTAATATTACGTTTTCTCTTACGTGTTACCTTTAAAAGGCTGGCAGAGACTGATGTGCGATGATGATGGGTGATACCTCCTCGATGCGAGCTTAGGTGCGCAACAAGGCGACAGTGTCCATAACGTGGGAGCCGTCAAGACCTAAACTACGGCGTGGAGCTACTCTCGATGATTGGCTCCTGCTCCCAATGTACGGCTCGACAAACTGTGTGTTTAGTTCTTTTAGTCTACACGTGCTATTAATATAATATTAAGTAACATGCTGTTATGCATGCGGTTGCTTACGTTAGCATACGAGAAAGAGGTCGTATGCAAGACTGGAACAACACTGGTGCTGGAAGACAGCTTGCCGCACGCTGTCGCGAGTAAACCGGCACATGCATGCAGAGTAATCATTGTCAATGTGCCTGAATTCTGTGGTAGGAGCGGTTTACGGCGCGATCGGTGCTTGCTCAAAGTGATAGCACCCGTCGAACGAGACCGATCTATCAAGCCGAGTGCTTCTAGAATCGCGGTTAGTTGTCCAGTACCGATAACTGAATACTAGTACGTTAATGTGTATAGAAGCTGTAATTGCGCTCCATACATGTATAGGCAAGTAACGCTGTAAGGGACCCAGTTTGCATCACTATTAGGAAAGGAAGTCGACTTTGAAGCAAAAAAGATTACGCTTCCTACAACACTTGTTGCAACGTGGATATCTAGCTAAATGAACGCTGTTCAGATGCAGTACCAAGGCTATTGAAGTAGCCTTATGATGCAATGGGTATTTCAGGTACCTCTCTGGCCCGCTCCAAAATGACGATTGGGGTTTTAAAATAAATCCACATAACCGAGTAAATTGGTTTTATGGATAAAAAGTGACAAGTTCTTATACTTGTCTCGCGTCCAAATTTTAGAGATTCTATAATGCTTGAGCAGAATAGTATCGGCTGTGTTGGCACTGGCAACAGCTTAAACCAATGTCATTCAGCTCGATTTCCCGTAGAACTAACGATATGAGT